GGCCTGGTGCACTGGGAAGACCCAGAGGGATGGGGTGGAGAGGGAGGTGGGAGGGGGGATCGGGATGGGGAATACATGTAAATCCATGGCTGATTCATGTCAATGTATGACAAAAACCACTACAATATTGTAAAGTAATTAGCCTCCAACTAATAAAAATAAATGAAAAAAAACAAGTATGATCTCTAAATAATAAAATTTCTCAATAAAAAAAAATTTATTAGTAGAACTAAGTTACTAGTGTAACCAATGGATTCTGGAAACTGAAGAGAGATTGACCATTATTTTACTGATTTAAGCAAGTATTTCCCCATCCTTTCTTTCTTTCTTCCTTTCTTCCGTCCTACCTTCCTTCACTTCCTCACCCCTTCCTGTCTGTCTCCCCCCTTGTATTCATAACAGAACCCCCTTTGTCGTTGCTGTTTGTTTTGTTTTACCCTCTATGTTAATTAGGTAAAAGTAGGCATGATCTTGTGAAGTTGGAAAGAGTTTCAAATGCTGCCTCAGTCATGTGTCAAAGGGCAGTCTACAACATAGATGTACTAGTATATATAAGTGAAGTGAGTGAAAATCACTCAGTCATGTCCAACTCTTTGCGACAGGCCTCTCTGTCCATCACCAACTCCCAGAGTTTACCCAAATTTATGTCCATTGGGTTGGTGATGCCATCCAACCATCTCATACTCTGTCGTCCCCTTCTCCTCCTGCCCTCAATCTTTCCCAGGATCAGGATCTTTTCAAATGAGTCAGCTCTTGGCATCAAGTGGCCAAAGCATTGGAGTTTCAGCTTCAACATCAGTCCTTCCAATAAACACCCAGGACTGATCTCCTTTAGGATGGACTGGTTGATCTCATTGCAGTCCAAGGGACTCTTAAAAGTCTTCTCCAACACCATAGTTCAAAAGCATCAGTTCTTCGGTGCTTAACTTTCTTTATAGTCCAAGTCTCACATCCATACATGACAACTAGAAGAAACATAGCCTTCACTAGATGTACCTTTGTTGGCAAAGTAATGTCTCTGTTTTTTAATATGCTGTCTAGGTTAGTCATAGCTTTTTTCCAAGGAGTAAGCATCTAACAAGATTTACCTGAAAGTAAAGAAAGAGGATTGAAGATGAAATGTTCTATGTGGTAGTTTTGGGCTTTTTTTTCCTTCAGAATACTAATTTTTGAGTATCTGGATACCAGTATAGCAGAATTTCTGATTACGGTCAAATCACATCACTTTAATATCATATTGAATGCAAAAGTATAGAATATTTTCGTGCTGTTGGAAACGTTTCTTTACCAGCCTCAAGTTAAAATGTGAATTGTCATCAGTTACAGATATACTTGTGCCCATGACGTTGCCCATCTTGGCTCACCTGGCGCCTGTTTCATCTTTCTCTTACAGCATAGGTGGAGAAGTGGGGCGAGGCCACGAAGGAACTTACGTGGGCAAACATTTCCGCATGGGATTCATGACAATGCCCGCGCCCCAGGACCGGCTGCCCCATCCTTGCTCCAGTGGCTTCTCTGTCAGGTCGCAGTCACTGCATTCGGTTGGGGGCACAGACGACGACAGCAGCTGTGCCTCTCGGAGACAACCACCCCCCAAGCCCAAGCGGGACCCCAGTACCAAGCTGAGCACGTCATCTGAGACGGTCAACAGTACGGTGGCCAGCAAGAGCGGGAAAGGCCCCGAGCGGACCGAAGGTAAAACCGGCCAGGCCCATCTCACCTAGAATGAGGCTTCACACCAAGCGTCCGGATCCGCATACCCACCAGCATCTGCCTTCCTCCCTGGGTCACATGATCTTGTCTCTTCAACACCTTAAGTCTTAAAAATGAAGAATCAGGGCGGGTGGCTGGGGGAGTGTGGTTGTTCATTGGAGTGTTGCCAAATGACACCCTCCACAATATATTTAATTTATATCACCCAAAAAGGGTGTGAGTTTTCTAGCCCCCTTTAAGGGGCTTTGAATCATTAGGAGATTATTTTGCCTAGCAGTATATCTAAAATCTATATTTTCTTGCTTCTATTCCTGTTACTTGTATAATTATAGCCGCATCGTGAGATTCCCAGGTGCTAGTGGTAAACAACTCGCCTGCCAGTGTAGAAGAGGTGAGAGGTAGGTTGGATCCCTGGGTGGGGAAGATCCCCTAGAGGAGGGAATGGCAACTCACTCCAGTATTCTTGCCTGGAGAATCCCCTGGACAGAGGAGCCTGGCAGACTGCAGTCCATAGGGTTGCAAAGAGTGGGACATGACTGAGCAACTTAGCACAATTGCACGCATCATGAAATCATAAGGAGGAGCTTTGTAATGCCAGAAAATATAAAAAAGAAAAATCGTAGTCATCTTTAGAAATAATCATTTCTTAATCATTTTGGTGTACTTTCAATGAATTTGAATTTATGCATGCATGTATGTACATTTGTAGCCTCTACTTCAATCCCTGTCTTCTGTTTTTACCACATCTATGTTTTTTATTTCCAGCCATGAAGTACATAAATCAAATATATCTTAGTCTCTTTGTTGGTCTATAATTATAAATTAGGTCAGATTAACCCCAGATCTCACTGGTACTTTAGCCTCTCTTGAATAAATCCGTTTCAGCTTTCCTGAAATTTTCCTGAGAGTCCTTTGGAGGGCGAGTAGTCCCAAGTGAGTTTTGATACAGGTGCATTCAGATGGTTGTGTGTCAGTTGTGGAAGATGCTTCAGGGCGTCCAGTGCTGACTGGACTTGTGACTGGCTTGACAGCACGTCTCCCCCAGGTCCCATGGTCTTTCTCTTACCCTGTCTCTCCCTGACATTCTTTCCCCAATGGCTCACCTGAGCACCTGGTATTCCAAGTTTCCCAGTAGCTTGTAACAAAGACTGGACACCAGTTGGTCCCTTCCTTAACTGGGCAGGTTTCTTTGCCACTGAGGCTCTCCAGTTCTTCACAAAGGCTCCCCCATCTTGTGGTCTAATCCTCCCACAGAAACGTAAACCTAGCCTACGGTATGGTTACCCATGAAACATATTCCATCTCTTCTAATATCTTCATCTCTCCTCTCACCTGTATCAGTGTCCAAGGGCATATTTAGCCAAAAAGCAAAAGCTTCAGAGAATATTGGAGAATACAAATAACTGCCTGGAGATTGAGCTAATCCATAGTTTCTTCAGGGAGAATATCCAGTTAATCTCAGTTTTTCCTACTTCATATACAGTCAGAAATAATCACAATTATGGGTATGTGTGTGAGATTATATGTGTGGATAATATGCATTTGTGCATATTTATGAAATTGAAATTCTAATGCATAGTTTTGTGCTTTATATTTTCACTTGTTTCCTTGTGATTATTGTCCATGGCATTCTGTTTGTTAGGAAGCACTGTTTTTAAGGAAGGGCATGCACTTCATGGTACTTTATGCAACTGTTAACTCTTTGATGAAGTCTTAGTTGGGCTTCCCTGGTGGCTCAGATGGTAAAGAATCCACCTGCAGTGCAGGAGACCCGGGTTCAATCCCTGGGTCAGGAAGATCCTCTGGAGAAGGGAATGGCAACCCACTCCAGTATTCTTGCCTGAAGAATTCCATGGACATAGGAGCCTGGCAGGCTACAGCCCATGGGACCTCAGAGTCAGACACGACTGAGTGACTAATACTCAACACACCAGATTGGTTCCAGTCTGTTCTGCTGTAATCAATCACACTGCAATGAAGGGTTGTGTGTGTGTGTGTGTGTGTGAGGGGGTGTCTGTTTGTGTAACTCTTTTGTTCCTCTACCTTGAAACAGATTTGAATTCTGAGTCTTTTTTTCTCATGATTCAAGGTAATCAGTATGTCCTACAACTTGTAACATACTGATGTTTTAGAGATAGTGTTTAATTTACTTTTTACTAAACTAAAAGGCTCTAGAGATCTGCATTCTGTAAATTTTAAATATTGTTCTTAGGTTTTCCCTGATATTGATACCTGATGCCTTTCATTTCTCTTTATAGTCTATGAGGTTATTTCTAGAAGTCACGTCTTCTTACTTGTACTGCCAGAAAACTACATAATCAATTACATTGCATTGTTTTCAAAAGCAGATTATGATTTAGAACAATGGTCTCTGAATGATGAGGGCCTGAGTGTAGGATAAAAGAACCATTGGAAGGGGAGGCAAAAAGGAATCAGACAAGGTGAGCGGCCAGTCAAGGATGTGTTATCAGGCTAGGTAACGCTGCTGGAAACACTTCTGGAAGCAGTGTAACATACACACCTCAAAATAGTCCCCTCCCTGGGGAGGGGAGCTTGGGGTCTTCAAAGTGGTCATGTGGAAAACTATGATTGTCCCACAGAAGAAACATTTGAGTGGTAATTCAATTGTCTTAAAGACAGAACTGATTACCATTCATTTGAGATGTTCAGGTAGCTAAATCCTGAGATAGAAAAACTCATAAGTCTCTCAGATCCCTTCACCATCTCAAGATCTAAGGCTCTAAATAGCTCATTATCAAAGAGAAGACAGGAAGTCTGTTATCTTTATTACTTCTGAGGCAGAAGAGAAGACAGTGAATAAATTAAAGCAGTAGCAAAGGCTTATCTCAGACTTGGAAAACTATACATTATGGTTAGTAAGGCTTATTAAACACTAAGTTGAAGTTCAACATCTCTCTTCTAAAGGACTTCTAGTGTGGTTAAAGAGCCTTCAGCTGTGGTGCCTCTTTGAGGATGGTCAGTGGACCAGATGGACTATTAAGATTCAGTGCAGAAATGGTCAACTTTTATAGAAGAGTGATTTTTCAATGCAAATTTCAGCTTCTCTTTGGAGCACTTAATCAAAAGGCAACTGCAGAACTGGATATATTCAAATCTCTTTTACCAAGGTATGACTTCAATAACAGGAGAGAATCAGAGCTCAGTTCAAAGATGGGAAAAAAACTTGAGTCCAAATGCATGCATTCATATGTGTGTACTCAAAGCCAAAATTATATAACTATGTAGATTGTTCTTTTATGAATTCTCAACTCTTTGTAATTGTGAGTTAACTGGACTTCATTACGGAGCATATGGTTTTTTTTTTTACAATTTTTCTAGCTATCAGAATTATAACAAAGATGAAGAGTGACTTTTATAAATCTTAGTTTGTCTTTTCTTTTTACATTAAATGTCAGCAAAATCAAAATATTGATTCTGGGGCATTAGAATGATTTCCATGGTAACCAGCTTCTATTTAAGTCAGGGATTATGACTTCCCTGAGGATGAAAGTAGAAAGGAAATGGCCTTGTAGCAAAATAGCTTTCAGAGTAGGAAAGAAATAGTTTAATGATGAACACAAACAAAAAAATCACATACCAGGAAAAGTATAATTTAGCTTTTAAAAATTGCAATTGTGTCATACAGAAAATATATATTTGCAATTCTATTTTAAGATCTTTCATAATGACACATTTCAAAATGTATACAGTAGATAAATTGACCATAAATATGCAATAGATATTTTAATTGCTCTTTCTATTGCTTCAGTGTAATACCTGCTGAGTTTGAGGAATGATTAGACGAAGAAAAAGGAGCTAACTAGAAAGGATGAGAGACCTGACAACTACTACTTCAGGAAAGAGCAGTAATTGTGCAAACTCACATTCTCCATTCCCATTGTTCAGCTCAACATGTATTTCATTTCCTAATAGAGTCATTCGTAGAAATGCTCTGTGGTGCAGGCAAAAGAGACTGTGCTTAGAATCTACAAGCAAACATTGACTTTGAGACAGTGATCTAATGAGACTGTTTCTTCACCTTTAAAATGATGATGAAGCACTGAAAACTAATCATACCCTGCCCCTCTCACAGCCTTATGACCATACAGTTGGCTAATGCCCACAACTGTGCATGGTAAAAAGAAAACACTATACAGATGTAAGTTCATATGATTTTAAACATGTACTTACACTTATTAACTGAACTGAACTGAACTGACTTATTAACATGCCAGAATAACACGAAATTTTGGTTTCATGTGCATGCATGCTAAATTTCTTCATTGGCGTCTGACTCTTTGCGACCTCATGAACTGTAACCTGCCAGGCTCCTCTGTCCATGGGATTCTCTGGGCAAGAATACTGGAGTGGGTCGTCCTTCCCTTCTGCAGGGGATCTTCCCATAGCACATATATTAAAGATAAATAGGAGAAATATAGTGGTTTGTTTCCTCTTTGCCCACTTTCTGAAGAGATTTTATTATTAATGGGTGTTGAATTTTATCAAAAAAATTTTTGCATTTATTGAGATGATCATATGGTTTTTATTTTTCAGTTTGTTAATGTGTTGTCTCACACTGATTTGCAGATATTGATAAATCCTTGTATTCCTTGGATAAGTCCCACTTGATCACGTGGTATGATCCTTTTAATGTTTTGTTGGATTCAGTTTGCTAGTGTTTTCCAGAGAATTTTTGCATGTGTGTTCATCAATGATAAAAATGTTAGTCACTCAGTCATATCCAACTCTTTGTGACCCCATGGATTATAGCCTACCAGGCTCCTTTGTCCACAGAATTCTCCAGGCAAGAATACTGGAATGGGTTGCCATTCTCCTCTCCAGGGGATCTTCCTGATCCAGGGCTTGAACCCCTGTCTCCTGCATTGCATGCAGACTCTTTACCATCTGAGCCACTAGGGAAGCCCTCATTTTGATCTGTAATTTTCTTTTTTTGTAATATCTTCTCCTGGTTTTGGCATCAG